CGGATTGAAAAAATTTGTTCGCGGGAAACAAAGTGTTTCTAGGAAGAGATACTTTCGAGAAGCGAATTTTCTTCATCATCTGTCTCCTCTTTGAATCGATTTTCGTGTCGCGATGTAATTCGTCGATTCCCCGAATCGTATTTTCGAAAGACGAATTTTTGTTTATTATATCCTATTTTACCATGAGAGAGAAATGTCGATCGAGATGTGAATTGTACAAACAGAATCAACGTTTTAGAGACAGTTAGTTACGGAATTGAAAAAATTTGTTCGCGGGAAACGTTTCTGAAAGAAGAGGTACGTACTTTCGAGAATTTTCTTTATTATTCTGTCTTACCATGAGAGAAATATAATTCGTCGATCGAGATGCGAATTGTACGAACAAAATCAACCTTTTAGAGACAGATTATGGACGGATTGAAATACGTCTCTCTAGGAAGAGATACTTCCCAGAGACGAATTTTCTTTATTATCCTATCTTACCATGAGAGAAATATAATTCGTCGATCGAGATGCGAATTGTACGAACAAAATCAATCTTTTAGAGACAGATTACAGACGGATTGAAAAACGTCTCTCTAGGAAGAGATACTTCCCAGAGACGAATTTTCTTTATTATCCTATCTTACCATGAGAGAAATATAATTCGTCGATCGAGATGCGAATTGTACGAACAAAATCAATCTTTTAGAGACAGATTACAGACGGATTGAAAAACGTCTCTCTAGGAAGAGATACTTCCCAGAGACGAATTTTCTTTATTATCCTATCTTACCATGAGAGAAATATAATTCGTCGATCGAGATGCCAATTGTACGAACGGAATCAACGTTTTAGAGGCAAGTTATGGAATTGAAAAAATTTGTTCGCGGGAAACATCTCTCTAGGAAGAGATACTTTCCAGAGACAAATTTTCTTTATTATCCTATCTTACCATGAGAGAAATATAATTCGTCGATCGAGATGCGAATTGTACGAACGGAATCGACGTTTTAGATTACGGAATTGAAAAAATTTGTTCGCGGGGAACGTCTCTTTAGGAGGAGAGGACGGAATCTGGAGGAAGGAAAAGCGGAGAAAGCGGTGTCGTTGCGGGAGCCGGTCGTCGAGCCGGAACATCCGACAGGAGAATGGAATTCCAGGAGGAGGAGGAGGAAACGCGTTACAACGTGTTTCACACTTCGGGTTACTCGCCCACGCCCTTTCCCCCCCAACAAACAAATATATATAACGCGACATTAGAATAACAAATACCGGTCGAAGCGTCCACGCCTAGAGGAGCGACGGGGC